TTGGTGTTTTTAAAAAAATCAGCTTTTTAATAATTGTGATTTTTTTTTCATTTTTGTTTGTTTTTTTTCCCGTTTGTTTTTGTTTGCTTCTGTAAAGCACTGTGGAATGTATTTAAAGTTGTTTTTTATTTATTTTTTTAAAGCTGGGTTCAGCTACCTACAATAATCAAGGTTGATTGCTTTAATCATAATGTCTGGCAGAAGCATGTGTTGGGTAGCATGAGACCAGAACGCAAGTTTTCTGGGCTTTGTGCATTTGGACCCCTTAGCTGAACCTGGATAATTCATTTAAGTCAAAGCATACTGCAAGGAAATATGAGACTTAGTAAATCAATGTCCAAAGACTACTACAGAAAACTTAATAGAAAAGAGTTCCATTTTATTAAAATATAATCACTTTCCTAGTATAGCAAGTATCACGACACAGACTTAAGAGCAGTGGGTGATTCTCTGCACTGTGTTAAGACTAAAATAGAAGGAAAATTTCTTAAAGTGTGTAAATGTTTTGAGTTAAATATAAGGCAGTCCCAAGGTCGGCAGTATTAGGACTTGCTATTTTTAGAGCCCCTGTAAATTCAGGTTAGCAGTTGATGTCACATTCATAATTACAGTTATTTTTTTAATGTGTTATAGGACTTTTTAGGGCCCCTGTGATATTTCAAAATACCATAATGGAAATTTCCTGTGGAAATATCCACTATACTTGAGTTTAGAGCCAAAATATCTGAAAACTGAAGAGTTGGCCACAAGGATGCCCATCTTTTAAGAGCCCTTATGTTCTCTGGAGCTGTGAAGAATTTGATCTCCTCTGGTTCTCTCCAGGCTTTTATATAGGGTGTGACTGACCATGACCCCTTGATCATCATTTCCTCAAGCCACCTCAGAAATCCATTTCATCATTTTCTTGTCACACTCATGATTTTCTACTGCTTTCCTCAATTTCCATGAAAAGAAAGTAGTTAACAGGCTATGAAGAAAAGGATTTTGAGAAAAGCTGTATTTTAAGGCCTTCAGAAGTAGAAAAAAATCTCTCATTTAATCATTGTTATATTTAGTCATCGTTACCACATCTCTCCTCAGTTGAAAGATTAGGTATATGATAATTTAAAGCCTATTTCACTTAGCAGTGAGAATGGTGTTTAAAAAAAAAAAAAAAAAAAAAACCAACCCAATGATATTCACAGACTATTTTGTGTTTCTAGTGTCTTCTAAGGTTACATTTGTCTTCCTTTTCT